CGAAATTAAACGTATTACAGTGCTTAAGGCAATAGCAGGAATAGAAAGAAATAAAATAAACGTATCAATAAATTATATTCAAAATTTAGATAGTGGGAGAAAGACTGTGTATATATTTAGATGACGAAATGAGTTAGACCCGTATGAGTACTACTGATAATATAATATTTGATGACCTGGCTGATAGTTAAGTTTAGTATTGCTTGATAAGTCGTAGAGTAAAACTGTTTATTTACGTTTTTTGACGTGATGATGGAGTCTCCAATAGTACAGATTCATCAAGGTAAATTGCGTGGTGCAATAGAGAAGAATATGAATGGAAAAGATTTTTATGCGTTTCGTGGCATCCCGTATGCAAAATCACCTGTCGGAGCATTGAGATTTAAGGTTTTGTATTTTTTAATCTTTTAGTAACTTAACTCGGGAAAATAATTGATGGAAAATTTAATTACAGGATCCAGAGCCTCAGGAACCGTGGTCTGGAGTGAGAGAAGCTAAGAAATTCGGTAATATCTGCGCACAATTTGATTGGATCACGAAAATAATATCAGGAAGTGATGATTGTCTTTTTTTGAATGTTTATTCAACAAATTTGACTCCTGATACCCCTCGAGCTACTCTCGTTTGGATTCATGGTGGTGGTTTCGTTTTTGGATCTGGGAATGACAGTCTATTTGGTCCTGATTTACTAATTGAAAAAGATATTGTTCTCGTTACGATAAACTATCGTTTAGGAATTTTAGGTAAATTTTAATTTCGTTATTTTTTTAATTTGTTTATTTGTTTTTTTTTTTTTTTTTTTTTTTTCAAACAATAAATAATTTAATTTCAGGATTTCTTAATTTGGAAGATGAAGCTTGTCCGGGTAATCAAGGCTTGAAAGACCAGGTGATGGCTTTAAAATGGGTGCAACAGAATATTGCAAAGTTCGGGGGTGATCCGAATAATGTTACAATTTTCGGAGAAAGTGCAGGCGCTTCTTCTGTTCATTTTTTGACAATCTCTCCACTTGCTCAAGGTAGTAAAGATAATAAATCACATTATTGTTAATAATTTATAACAAAACCTTCTGTTGGACAAAATTAATTAAAATTTCTTAAAAGCTATAAATTAGATTTTATACAATGTAATACAGAAGATATTTTATTGCCACATCTAAATGTTTGACTAAAACTTGCGAAATTAATTCCGAAATATATTTCATCATTTAGAAGTTTGTCATAATCTTTATCGCATCGCATAAATTTATGACATTTGTTTTAAAAATTATATAGGCGTATTACACTGAAATAATATTTAAAATAATACAAGACTTATCATTTTTTTAATACTTTTTAAAAATAATATCAAATTTGAATTCTTTAGGATTGTTCCATAAAGCAATTTTACAAAGTGGAGTAGCTATTTGTCCATGGGCGAGTCCATCAGAAGATTCAATGAAGGAAAAGGCCGTTGTAGTATCTTCAGTGCTGGGAAACGAAATCACTGACACCAAGAAACTCATTGAGTATCTAAAATCCGTTGATGCGCTGGAGTTGGTCAAAGCAGAACGGAATTTTGCTTCATGGAAGGTACGATCTGCTTTCGTTATTTACTTCTATTTTTTACTGTAATATTGTTTTACGCCTACAGAACAGATTCTTGATTTGGAACCCTTTCCTTCCATCTATTGATTCAAAATCTAAGAACCCTTTTCTGGATATTCCTTTGGTAGAGGCTGTTAAATCAGGTATCAAAGTCCCTCACATTATAGGATACACTAGTCACGAAGGGATTATCGATCTAGTAGGTATGAATAAACAGTTGATTTTCTTCTTAGATACATTTTGAATTTTTATTGCGGTAAATTATTAATCAATAATAAAATTTATTTATTTTTGTGTAGAATTGGAAAAGGATAATTATTCTGAAATAGACGCAGATCCGGAGAATTCACTTTTACATCCAAATGCTAAGAATTTTTTAAAAGAGTTTAATATTTCCGTAACAGATTTGAAAAGAATTTTTATGGGTGATAAAAAAATTTGCCCCGAAAATGGCCAATCACTAGCAAGCTTACGCTCAACATCCGATTTTTTGGCTGCCATTCATCACGTACTTGAAATTCAACCTAGAATCCCCGGGATACCTACTTATTTGTACAAGTTCGATCATTACTCTAAAGAAACTGCTGTTATACAAAACTTATTTTCAAGTGACTTGGAAGGTACTTCTACTATAAAACTAATTTGAATCATAATTCTTAATTCAAAATTACAATAGTTTTTACAAAAATTAAAACCCAAGAATTGTCTTATTTCTTTATTTTAGTAATTTAAGGGGGTATTCTGGTCTAGAAATTTGAAAAATTCGAATTATTTTTTTTTGCATATTTGCAAAGTTTAGACCCTTAAAAATATGTCCTTGAGTGGATTTTTAAAAATCCGAATTATTTTCGGAGATACCGTGGATTTTGTGACGCAGCTGCTTCTGCTTCTGCTTCTTCAATAGAAGGCAGAACAGCTCGATTAGCAGAAAGAACTTCGCAAAACATCGAGTAGGAAGTAGAAGAAGGCTCAATTTACGGATCTGGGATTCGCGATTAATCCAAAGTGAATATTAAATATTATTATGAGTTATTTTACTGAAATCGTTTCTAAAACTTTAAACGCGATTTTCTCGAAACTACTTTTTTTAAAGTGATTGACATGATATCTTAAGTTCTACCCCACCGATTCCTTTGAAATTTAGTGGGAATTTGTTTTATATATCTCTCTATCGCGTCTGCTATGGATTTCAAAATTTCATTGAGTATTTTAAAATCGAAAGTCAAGTAAAAGGGTAAAAAAAATTGATATTTTATGTCGACGCCATTTTGTGAATTTTTTTTTTTTTATTTTTGCTATAGTCAACGCGATAGCGACATCTTTACAGATTGAGAATTTCTCAAATTTTTTTGTTTCATATCACTACAAGGGCTGGAATCATGTCAACCAGAGTGCACCGTTTTTTTTGTAGCCCCCATTTCACCGCCCTGTAATTTGTCAAATTTATCATTTTTTTTTTTTTAGTTTTTTTTTTATATTCTTGAAATGTCAATAAACATCATATAAAAAAACGGATTATAAAAATGTTTTTCATTTTTTTTTATGTTAGTTTGAAAAATGCCTAAAATTTAGGCTTCTACACCAGAATACCCCCTTAATATAATTTATTACTATGTTCTAGGGACTAGCCATGCAGAGGACTTGATGTATATATTCAACACAAAATTATTAGCAGCGCTTGGAATAAAACTACCGAGTTCTTATCCAACAGAGAGTCTCATTCAAAAAAGATTTATAGATTTGTGGACTAACTTTGCCAAAACAGGGTATTTATTCTTTTTATCCACTAAAAAATTATTTTTTTGTTTTTTATTAATATAAAATTTAATTTTATAATATAACTAGCTGATGACAAACCGTTTCATTGGGTTTTTTGTTGGGTTTGTTACACTGAAAAATAATTTTTTGATTAGAGGGAAAATTTTCTTGGCTCAAGAAAATATTAAGGAAGATTGAAAATTTCTTGAATGAAGTCAAAATTTCTTGAGCCAAAAAAATTTCTTCTTACCCCAAAATAACTTTTGTCTTCCTTAAAATTTTCTTGGTGCGAGAAGTTTTTTTTTTCTGTGTACAATTTTATGAATTTAACCCAGTGACACGACATATATTTCTTAGTGTCTTGCACTATAACGATACCCCATAGGTTGAAGGTTGTTGCAAAAGAGAAAATCTAATAGCGCGAGCACTAATGAGATTACTAATTATAGAAAAAAAAACGCATAAAAATAGTTTTGGATTTTAATTCTTACTTACACGTGTTTATTAACTCAACTTGTGTGTATCGATGTAACTATGAATTTATATGACGGAATTTTTCAATGTCATATTTTCCGAATATAAGAATTCTGATTAATTTAAAAATTCGTACACGTAATATAATATGATGATATAAAATAAAATAATAATATAATATATATATTTTATAATAATATAAAATAAAATAAAATAAAATATTTAATTTGTTTATTAAATAATATATATTGCTTAATAAATGTTCCAATTGACGTGCTAATGATCTAATTGAATAACTCTGTTACAGAAATCCAGTTACTGAAACGTCAGATTTGATATCTGTCAAGTGGCAACCTGTTGACGATTCAAAAGAGTACAACTGCTTAAAAATCAGTAAAGAACTCAGTATGATAAAAGAGACTAATATTTTGCGGCAAATAGTAGAAACTATTCAACAAAATGAATCTACTTGTTTATAAGCCTAGTTTACAATAAACAATGAGCATATATTACTATTTTCTTTGTTTTATTTTTCATTAACAAAAGAGGGGTCAAGACAAAAATAAACCCCACTACGTCTTTACGTTTTTATAATAAATAAAACGGTATCAAAATATATTTTTGACGCTAAATTATTGACTATAGGCATAGTTGTTTACTAACAACGTATAAAAATTCCACTTCACACCTGGACATTGAGTAAGATGTTTTTTTGAACGTTAGATTTATTCACTATGAGATGAGCGAGATAGCTTGATCTCTTCCTAATTACGTATTTTTGTGACCTTCAAACACCAGATACAAATTATTTCCATCTACTTCGGACAAATTTATGAGTATTTTATTTTTATAGTCAATATCTACTTGTGCGAGTAATAACAATAAATCAAGTCTAAATTCGACTAATAACGAAAAAATAATAAGTAAAAAGCGCTTACATTTTAATTATAAAGTATATTTTGTCGAGTTTAACGTACATGCAATCTAAATAAATAAATAATCAAATTTAAAGTCATACTCGTAAGATGCCATTGATGAAGCGCTGATGTAATAATTAATCGGGTGCGCATTTAATCGACTCATTTATTCCTGAAATTAAATTATTATCAATGTTATTTATTAGTAATAAACAAAATAATAATCGATTAGTCACTTTAACTTACAGGAGATTTCTGTATTATTTCAAGTAGAAATATGTGAATGAAATGCACTTGATGAATATTCATATTCCTTCTTTGTGTGGTCACGGTAAAGTAAAATTGCATCTGGCTCACAGTTCGCAAAACTTCTAACACTATCTATCGGTTCAAAAAATTTATTGAAGTAAAGTGTAATCTTTTGTAATTGTATATCCCCATTCTGTAAAAATTTATTAATAAATCATTAATAATGAAATTCAGTATGCGAAGCGAATTTTGAGCTAAAAATAATGAAACATTATTTTATCTTACATTATCAAAACATTCAACTTTTGGTTTTTTGTTTCCTATACCCTTTGAAACAGCGTCAGATATTGCTTGAGCAGTGTAATTATTATTGGGCAAAATGTTATTTTCACGCAAAATTTGATTCATGTTATACTTATCAAACAACTCAAGAGACTTGTGGAAATATTCCAATTCATCGGCACAAATTCCATCGTTTCTCCATTTTAAGTGCAAATTTTCAATAGGTCCAGGTCGTGTATAGCCTTCAAGACCCCATTTTTTCGTCAATGTTTCACTAATTGGTGATATGTCTTTATGAAATTGATCATAGTTGTTGCGGCATAAATAGGTTTTGTTTTGGACCCAGTATTTGAATTCTTCAATGTACCAAGAATCGATGGTTGACAAATCGCACACTTCATTTTTATAACAAATGTATGGTTTTAATCGTTGTACAAAGATATGGGAAACATCATTTTTTGAACTGAAAATTATAGAAATTATTATTAATAATAGTTATAATTATTCAACTATTGAATAAATCAATTTTATATACCTTTCAGCGACTGATACCACAACAGCAATTGTAGAAATGAAGATGATGTTTTTTATGAAGTTCATTCTTACTTATATCAAACTGCAATAATCCATAATATGAATTTAAAGATCTTTATATAGTATCTGATAGGTAGTTGACCTCTTAATATCAGAAATCTTTGGAAGGGATTGCCGTGTAATAGAGTCGAAGATAATCATGAATTAATTATGGAGATGAAGCCTTGTATCGGTAAATAAACAAGATTCACAAGTGAATGACCTAATCTCAGTGTATCGTCATATATAGGTTCAGATGTTTTATAATATTTAAATATTCTCAGTTAAATAATTCATTAATACTTGATACTTAATACTTCTTGGCTGACCTCTTCTGTCTGATCAAGGTTAAATACCTTGTAAAAGAGTGAGAAAGTTTCAACTTATTATTTGCTAAGTGATTGCTTATTATATATATTTTTTAAATACAGATGATATAAAAATATTTTTCTTAAAATCGCATTTGTATTCTAGCATTTCAAAGATTAATCGTAAAGCGTTTAAAGTTGTTTGTGCATTACTTGTTAAGCAATTTTACACGCCTTGTAACGCGCAGGGGTTGACCTTGTGATTTATTCCCTATACGTCAAGGTCAAGCAACTTCCAATTTAAAAAAAATTTTTATTCTCTATATTTAGAAAAAAATATTTTCAATAATTTTGTTTTTCTAATCACTGAATCTTCATATTACTTTAATGAAAAACTTCTTAAAAAATTAATTAAAAAAAATTAAATTTATCTCAATACATGTAGTACTAAAACGGTAAGAAATATTTTACGGATATCGCTATGCGAGTATGGTTGTAAACCACCATACTGTATGGTATCCAAGATTTTTGTATTCTTTTTTATAATTACACAGAAAAAAAAGTTCACTTGAGCCAAGAAAATATTTTTCTTCCTAATTATTTTCTTGAGCGAAAAAAAAAATTTTTTTTTGACACAAGAATTTTCACTTATTTCAACAAAATCAATTCTCTTGTTTTAAGAAATACGTATCTTAATTCAAGAAAATTTACTTAAGTCAAGAAAATCTTGTTGTTTTGGAGAAAATTCAGCCTCTTGCTCCCAAAAATTTAGTTTTTAATAGAAGTAAATTTTCTTGTCTTGAGAAAATTTTTCTCTTGCTCCAAAAAATTATATATCTTGATAGAAGTAAATTTTCATTAATATTTTTATTGATTAATATGTTAAATGGGAAGATCAAATAATATTGAATCATTTTTTTTCATTCAATGCGTATAATTGCACGCTAAAATAATATAAAAGGTGAAAAAATTTTTTTCTCAGCTGAAGTCGATGGCGCTGTTTCCCTAAAGTATTCAAAAATCTTGATCAAATATAAAAATTTATTGTATCAAGTATTTATGATAATTTAAATTAAGAAAAAATTACTTCCACCAAGAATATAGAATTTAAAGAAAAATTTTTACACAACTTCGATCTTCCTTTAGGCACCCGAAAATTTTCTTGAGCCAAGAATTTTGTTCTCTGGTCAAGAAATTTTTATTTCTGTGTCGATTGTTGTCTTTTCTTTCTGTTTTAATTTTTTAACAATTCCGCATCATTTATAAGTCTTATATCAGGACAAGATTTAAAGTATTTACCCTCGTGTTTTTTGTTTTGTTCTTTCCCAGATAGCAATATGACGTCTTTTACAGTTCTCAAAGAACTCTTATTTAAGATTTAGACGTCAGAATTTTGATCAAAATGAGGTCTCCAAGACGTTTTGAGGACGTCCAATGCGCCACCTAAAGAGTGAATCAGGACTTCATAGAGAGAGTTCTTAAAGAGCTCTTTTTTCTGACTTCAAAAAAAGAGTTCTTCAAGAAGTCAGAATTAAGAGCCCTTTCTGACTCCAGAAAAAAATAGTTTATAGAGGAGACATTTTCAGTTTTAATTGTAATTAATATTAAAAAAGAGCTTAAATTAAAGACAATCAAGTACATTAAAATATATTTTCTTCAAAATTAAAAAAAAAAAAAATGGTATCGCTCGCAGAATACGAATTTACTAGCGGTCTCCCATCCAAGTATTTATCATGACCAATGCGTCTTAACTTCAGTGATGTGGTGTCCCCTGGTCTGCCTTGGCTAGCTGCTCCTAATAAGATAGTTAATTTTTTTTTTCTACATAAGCTCTTATGTTCACATAAGATTACAAACGACTTATAGCAACGATAAATAACTTGATATCAACTTTTCTACCCAAAAATAAAAAAAAAATACCTTTCGATTTAATTATCGATAATTATCGATTTAATTTTTAATAAGTAGAATCACTGAACGTTTTGCTATTTACGATAATATTTTTATAATACAAAAATAAATACACAGCGAAATGAGTTCACTCGAATGCGATTATTTTTATTTTTTTATCATTTTAAAAATTCTTTAATAACGTGAAAAAAATTTTTCTAAGTCCCATATTTTGACGAAGTACAAAATCAGAAAAAAAAAACCTATTCAAGAGCTCCTATTATTGATGTCTTACGAAGTCAGAAAAAAAAAAACTCTTAAAGAGCTCATATTTCTGATGTCTTGGAAAGTATAAAAAAAGACCTCTTAAACAGCTCATTTTTTGACCTCTTACGAAGTCGGAAAAAAGACTTCTCAAAGAGCTCATATCTGTGATGTCTTATAGAACTTAAAAAAAAAAAACTTCTTAAAGACTTCTTAATTAAGAGTTCCGAAAAATAAGGTCTTTAACCTTACAATACCGTAACCATCTAGATTACCAGAAAGTAATAATATCTGAATTATGTATCTCAGAAAGCATCTGATAAATAGGCTGCGTTGTATTATTGAAATTAATTATAATTTGATACAAAAATATGTAACTTGTTTTCATGTTTTTGCTGTTTATAAATTTCCGTACAACTCCGTCTATTGCATCAATACATACAGAGAAAGTTTTTGCACGACTCATGATACGAAGCATCAGAGAGTGCTTTACGATCGAAAAATTTTTTATTTATGCACCGGTATTTTTTATAACAATGAAGCTGGTTGGTGAAAAATAACAAACAAAAAATGGCGAATCTTCTACTTGAATAATACAATCTCTGTAAATGACTTCTTTCATATTCTGAATTGCTTTAATTAAATCTCTTCTAATTTCAGATTTGATATTATATTTTTTATTTATTGATCCTGTATATTAGAAGAAAATAGCGGGCATTGTGTGTCACCAGGTTGAAGCGGATGACTTGCTTCCTGAATTTTTGTCCCTTTAACACCTTTTTCTTTGATATTATTTCTTAATAAATAAATTTCTTTGTTCTGCCTGTAATGGTATATGAACATCATCGTGTGGTGTAAAACGTGCAAGTCGTTCATCGGAAATAGTATTTCTTACTTTTAAAATGAAATCCTTAAGCTCGAGCAAAACAGCATAAAGTAACAGATTCGTACAGATTTTGGTTTCTCATGCTAAATTGAGAATAAACGTTAAAAAATAGATGTCCGCTGCACGTCCAATCAGCACGTTAAATTAATTTATATGACTTCAAACTAAAACATGCTCTAAATCAAGAAATAAGTACATTATCATAACATGTGAAATAATTTTTAGACTATATACTTACTGGACAATCAGCTTCTATGCAATTAATTTTATCATTATATTAATTAAAAAGTAACATATTTCTGTGCAAATTATGGAAAGTAGATCACCTCTACTCTCCATAACGCAAGGTTTCATGGCACATAAAAAGATGTGTTTCAAAATTTATTGAGAGTGATGAAAGGCAAACTTACATGTCGCGACAAAAAATTATTATTATTACAGTTGTTATTGTTATGTAGAATAAGATTTAAACATACCGCGCAATTGATTAAAAGTTCGCGCATGCGCAATAAGAATTTTTTTGAAGGTCAGATCTGTGGGTGTAATTATGGTAAAAATTTAATTATCAAAGAAAATACGATCGAACAAACGTTTTTTTTGTAACTGAACAAACAATATTTTATCAAGATTTGAAGAAGAAAAAACACGCAGATATCATTATATTGAAAGCTAGGTTCAAGTTTAAATTTTGAAAATTATTTATAAAAAAACTAACAACGAACAAACAGTAAAATTGCAAGACAAATACATGTACTGACTGGAAAGTAAGTGTATACGTATAGTGTCATATATGTATGTGTGTGTATGAATACTAATATATTGCACTGTTAATGAGATAGTATTAGAATCCACATCCACGGAACAATTAGTGACGTTTCATAATAATCAGCTTCGTTTATTATACTAGAAATTTGAATAGCGCGCTGCGCGCGCGCCTTACTTTTAACCAATAAGGAATCAGGTCCCATTTTTTTGCGAGTTTCGACTATTGACTAACTTCACACTCTCATATATTTTTATATTTTTATTGTAGGGATTTGTAAAGACGGCTGAATGGGAGATTATTATTGCCAATAGCAATAATAACAATAATAATAATATTTGTGAAGCCAGTTATTTAATACACAGGTAAATTATTTTGTCATAGAAGATTTTAAATAAAATATGAAGAAAAAATATTATATCATTGTTTGAAAAAAAAGGTGTTTCCTTATAGTAGTCAAATAGTTGCGGTTATATTTTGTAAGCTAACATGTGTACATTAATTATATAATAAATTTCAGAAAATTTTGCATATATCAAGTGGAATTCATACTTCTAAAAATGAGTGTATTATACCATTCAACAGCAAGTTATGAGTGGAAAGTATCTGATTCTCCAAACAACAAATGGTTAGAATCTAAAGATTTCACTTTACCAGATAATATCGACATGAAGTTCAAGATATGCCTGAAACTCCTAGAACCCAAAACTTTTTTTTGGAGAAAAGCTCAAATCAGAGTGAAGAAACAAGCATCTATAGGCCTTGGTCGAGCTGATATAATAATTCAAGTTGATAAAGTTTCAAGTCGACAAACCATGATCCACTGGGGTGATTACAGCGACATTTTTAATTTTCGAGGAACATTTAAACAAGGAGTCTCAATTATTTGCGAAATTCATTGGTATGGACTCGATGACGCTTATGAAAATGATGAAATTGCATTTGCTGCTTCAATTCAGCCGAACTCAATGAAAAATTATTTACTTTCAACAGAATTAAGTGATGTGATGATTACAATAAATGGTGATGAACTACCAGCTCATAAACTAGTTCTCGGATCTCATAGTACTGTTTTCAGCAAAATGTTCAATACTGATATGAAAGAAGCTAATGAAAATTGTATTTGTTTGGATAGATTTGACCTTGATATCATCAAACAAGTCCTGATGTTCATGTACACAGGAAAAATTCAGACTGAAAATGATATCAATGTAATTTTGAAAATATTATCTTGTGCTGAGATGTATCAGATAAAAAAGCTGACAACTTTTTGCCAGTATAAATTAATACAAAACTTTAAAGAGGAAAATGTTATTGAAATTTTAGTAGATACTGATAACTATGATTTGATTCGGCTTAATCAAAGAGCTTTGGAATTTCTTGTCGATAATAAAGCTAATATATCGTTCTCGAAAACAATAGAACAAATTAATAATTCAAAAGTATTGAAAAATTTTGTTCGGAATGAATTAGGAATGAGAAAAAATTAAAGAATAATACCTTAAATATAATTTGTTATTTTGCGATTGATTAAAAATGTTTAATTACTCATTTACGTATAAATTATACAGACTTTTTTTCGTTTTTTCCTTTAATTAAATTCTAATTAATTTTTTAAATAAATGTTAATTAATTGTTTATATTAATGTTATTTAATTTCAAATGTTTTCTATTGATGTATGTTGCCGATAGGCCTATGTTGATAAAATAAATAAAATAAAATAAATAATATTAATAACATGAGATCTTTTTATTGGAATATGAGTAGCAATTTATGCTCATTTCAATTTTATGATTCGCTGTTTTATTTTTTCTTCAGATAATTTATATAATATCTTTACAATTACATTCTAATTTAATTTTTCCTCTAAATTAAGGTAAAAGACCCAGTTATTGACACTTGCAATGTTATTCTAATTAAAAAAATAAAATTTTCTTAAAAAACCATTTATCTTGAAATTTATAATTCAAAAATTATATTTATTAATTTATTAGAGTCGATTTGTTTTATTTAAGTTAAATAAAATTACAAGTGTCAATAACTAGTTCAGTGTCAATAACTGGGTCTTTTACCTTACTAGAATTGAATTTTGCGCGCGCAAGCGCATGCCTAACTATAGAGTTTGCATATATTTTCATGCTTATGATATATTCGACCAATCACGTTACGAATAGTTTGATGCCACATACATTTCATCTCAATTTTATATTAGGACTAGAATTTGAATTTACGCGCGCAAGCGCGCGCTTTGACTATAGAGTTTGCATATATTTTCATGCTTATGATATATTCAACCAATCACGTTACGAATAAAATGTCTTCATCAATGTATATATTTTCATATTTTTCATCTAAATTATAAGAGTGAACTAGAATTTGAATTTACGCGCGCAAGCGCGCGCCTTGACTATAGAGTTCGCATATATTTTCATACTTATGATATATTTGACCAATCACGTTACAAATAGTTTGATGCCACATACATTTCATCTCAATTTTATATTAGGAACGCGCGCAAGCGCGCGCTTGACTATGGAATTTGCATATATTTTCATGCTTATGATATATTCAACCAATCAAGTTACGAATAGTTTGATGCCACATACATTTCATCTCAATTTTATATTAGGAACGCGCGCAAGCGCGCGCTTGACTATGGAATTTGCATATATTTTCATGCTTATGATATATTCAACCAATCAAGTTACGAATAGTTTGATGCCACATACATTTCATCTCAATTTTATATTAGGAACGCGCGCAAGCGCGCGCTTGACTATGGAATTTGCATATATTTTCATGCTTATGATATATTCAACCAATCAAGTTACGAATAGTTTGATGCCACATACATTTCATCTCAATTTTATATTAGGACTAGAATTTGAATTTACGCGCGCAAGCGCGCGCCTTGACTATAGAGTTTGCATATATTTTCATACTTATGATATATTTGACCAATCACGTTACGAATAGTTTGATGCCACATACATTTCATCTCAATTTTATATTAGGACTAGAACTAGAATTTAATTTTCGCGCGCAAGCGCGCGCATCATATTTATTGTCATAATATATTTATGTGTCGTTTATGTATATTATATTAACTTTCAACCAATCAGAATGAGAATATTTATTTTTGACCAATCACAGTAAAGAGTTGTTATGAACAAATAGATTATTAATGGACATTTTCTTAGATAAACATTTATGAAAATGGATAATAATATAAAAAGACATCAGTAAAAATGGTTAAAAATACAAATGTACAATTAAATAAAAGGAATAGTCATTTAATGAACATATGATTTTATGAACAATTGAAAAAATGGACATTTAAATTTTAGGAAAAGTGAATAAATGGACATTTGTATAAATGCCCATCAATAAAAATGAATTTTGTAAAAATGAACATTTAAACAAATGAACTTCGATAAAAAAATACTTACTTAAATGGAAATCAGTAAAAATGGACATTTATAAAAATGTAAATTAGTAAAAATGGACATTCATAAAAATGGAAATTAGTAAAAATAGACATTCGTGAAATTGGACATTTTTAAAAATGGATAAATGATTTAAATTTAATTACAAATATAATTATGAAGTTGATAAATTATAAAATTAGGGTTTTTGGTGTGCGTAAAGGAAAAAAGATGTCAGAAGAGCTGGGAACTCGGCTACCAAAAGGCATCTTCTTGTAATATTTGATGAGCTATTTGATGTTTTATCGTTTTCCGTAAAAACCTACGAAGAAGATGTCTTGGTAGCCGAGTTCCCAGCTCTTCTGACATCTTTTTTCCTTTACGCACACCAAAAACCCTAATTTTATAATTTATCAACTTCATAATTATATTTGTAATTAAATTTAAATCATTTATCCATTTTTAGAAATGTCCAATTTCACGAATGTCTATTTTTACTAATTTCCATTTTTATGAATGTCCATTATTTACTAATTTAGATTTTTATGAATGTCCATTTTTACTGATTTCCATTTAAGTAAGTATTTTTTTATCGAAGTTCATTTGTTTAAATGTTCATTTTTACAAAGTTCATTTTTATTGATGGGCATTTATACAAATGTCCATTTATTCACTTTTCCTAAAATTTAAATGTCCATTTCTTCAATTGTTCATAAAATCATATGTTTATTAAGTGACTATTCCTTTTATTCAATTGTACATTTGTATTTTTAACCATTTTTACTGATGTCTTTTTATATTATTATCCATTTTCATAAATGTTTATCTAAGAAAATGTCCATTAATCTATTTGTTCATTTGAACTCTTTACCAAATACTTTTATTTCCATTTGGAGATATTTTCAAAAATAGGGATTTCATTTTTTTAAGTTGGCCATAAGTGCAGTTGTACATTTATAATTATTTCCTTTTTTATTAATGTCCATTTATATTAATGTCTAATTTTCTTGAGTACTTTTATTATTATTTCCAAAAAATCAAATGTCCATTTTTAAAAATTTCCATATCCATTTATTCAAATGTCCAAAAATACACATTTTCAATAATACAAAAGCAACACGAACAGGGATAAATTAATGTCACGCATAGTATGTGGCATCAAACTATTCGTACCGTGATTGGTCGAATATATCATAAGCATGAAAATATATGCAAACCCTATAGTTAGGCGCGCTAACTATAATTCTAGTTTAAAAAAAAAAAAAGGATGAAAAGGATGAAATAAAAATAAGTGTGAAGTTAACTTAGTATCGAATTATCGCAAAAATGTGGTCGCCGATTTCTTATTGGTTGAAAAATTAAGGCGTGCGCAATTTAAATTCCTAGTCCTCTAAATTAAAATAGAATGAAATAAAAATAAGTGTGAAGTTAACTAAGTATCGAATTATCGCAAAAATGTGGTTCCCGATTCCTTTTATTGGTTGAAAAATTAAGGCGGGCGAAGCGCGCAATTTAAATTCCTAGTATTTATGATAGAAAGATTTAAATAATTTATGTAAATAAATTGTGATTAGAAAAAAATAATTTTTATCCACAAAATGTTAATTTTGTTATAGAACTTTTGTAATTGCAAATAAATTTTTCTACCAACATCTTAAAAAAAAATTATTAAAAAAAGTTGCGTGAGCAAATTAAATATAAAACATTTTACTAACTTAATTTTAATTATTGTTTTGACAATTATAAATATTGTTTTTTATATAAAAAATTAATAAAATATTTATATACCCATCGCATAATTTAAAAACAACTAAATATAAAACTCATAAAAATTTTTAAATTTTATACAGTGAAAGCTGTTAAAAGTTACCGTAGTTCTGTTTCAATTTCTCATAAAACACTAATAAGAGTAAGAAAGACAGCCTGGGTAACTTTTTAGAGCTTTTACTGTACTTTCATCAAGATGGGCAAATCATGGAAACAGAGCTTAATTTTCATAAAAATATGCCTTTGTGTGGAAACTAAACTGTAGTTTAAAATTCTTAGAATGATATAATGATAATTCAGGAAGGTGTCATCCAGAAAATATTGATTAACTGAGCAAATAAATAAAAAAATAAAATCAAAGATTGGTTGAAATAATTGATAATATTTAAAAACATAATAGATAATTAAAATAGGTGAGTTAGTTAATTTGTTGTAGATTATACAATAATCAAGCTTAAATTAAATATTATAACCTCTAAAATTTTTCAGATCTCCCAATGTCAACAAACCACTTAGAACTGCGTCTCAAAGACGCAATTGCTAGCAATAATGTCATAAAAGTACAGCAAGTAATTGATGATTTGCACAAAATCAATTTAAACTTATCAAATTTGTCAAAAAAGTTTCACACTTACTACCTTGTTCAGCAAACTATCCTACAAAAAAAGGGAACAATTGCAAAATTACTTTTAAACAATGGTGTTCCAGTTAATAATGCCATCAGAGAACCTTGCAACAGCCTTCTGCATTTAGCGACGATCAATCAAGATGTTGAACTGGTAAAACTGTTATTAGACAAGGGGGTCTACATAAATAGCAAAAATACTCTTGGTAAAACCGCACTATACCTAGCAGTTGAATTGGGAAACCTGAAAATAGTCAAACTGCTTCTCGACCACCAAGCTGATATTAATATTGCTGCCAATGATTCTTCATTGCCGATCCATGTATCTAATCAACCAGATAAAGAAAAAATATTCAAGATGCTCATCAGTAATGGAGCCAATGTTAATATCAAATGTAAACGTCAAACAGTCCTGGAGGATGCCGTACGAAAAGGATACTCATCAAATGTTCAACACATTCTAACCTATTGTTTCGTTGATCTAACTATCAATAAAGATTGCCTTAAGGTTGCAGTTCTTAGTAATGGTAAGCGATACAATGCTATTAGAAATATGTTACTTGACTATGGTTTTAAAGCAGATCCTCAATGCGTTGATAATGCGCAATTTGTTCACGCTGTTATCGCTAAAGGATACGTTGACATAGTTCAAAATCTTCTGAAGCTCGGAGC